TCAACATGCTGTATAAAGCTATTCTTTTTCACCATCATTTAAAGATCATGTGAGTCTAGTTTCTAGAGGAATGATTCATTTTAAAGACCTTAAAAAAACTTCCAATCAGGAATAATTGTAGATAAAATAGTTTTGTGGTAGACAATCAGAGTTAATTTTGTATGCCTCTCCATTTTTTCCAAATAATTAAAAGAACTCATCAAGCTTTTAGGACATTTATACTTTCAATTTCATTGATTTCTGAATTATTTATTCACTTTCTACTATAGGTAAGGCCCTATGTTTATAATTTTCATATTTTGAAAGCAATATATACTTACTATGGAAATTTGAAGAAGAATATTTTTTAAAAGAAAATAACCAGTAATTCCATCCTGTTTCTAACAGCACAGTGAACAAATGGCTGCTCCCAGGATGTGCCTGTGCACCTGCACGCTGACCGCTGCCCGGGCATGCAGTTCAACCGGAGTGGTTCAGTAGTTCAAGAAATTCTTATGCTGGTCACGTTTAGTTAAAAAGAAAGTAAATGAACAGACGTGTGTCTGTTTGCTAATTAGATCGGACTCAGCTGGGTCATGTGATAATTCTGTGTAATTTTTTTGATGGATTTCCATACAGTTTTCCATAGTGGCTATTCTATTTTACATCGCCACCAGCAGCGCACAGGGTTCCACATTCTCCACATCCTCGCCAGAACTTCATATTTGCTGTTAGTCATCCTGACGGGCGTGAGGTGGAAAAAGTTGACCCTTGGAAAAAAAAAGTGGAGGAGAAGAGAAGATAAAACCTTCTTATTCAGCTATAAAATTGCCACTAATTTATTTTTGTATAACTACAGATTACTTCTATAATAAGCAAGATAGATTTGGATAATTAGGGTTTCTCTTTTAAAATTGATATTAGCTATTTCATACTCAGTCTGTTGTTTAATACAGTTAGCTATATAAAATTTCCTTTGCGAGAAGATCATTTAGAATTGTACTATATCAAACTGCACATATTTTAGTTTCTATGCATCGTATAAAGTATATTTAAAGAATCTGGCATTTGTGCCTTTGTGGGTACGCCACGGTAGATATTAGTTACTTTATCAATTAGCAGATAATCTTTATATTGACAATTGACAGGGGAAACGTAGATGGAAGGTTAATACATTAAAAATGACAGATTCTTCAGCAAGAAGCTCTTCAGTAATGAATTGTTCTAAAGATTCAATGAAATGTAGTTTGTAAAGAACCACTTTTGGGGCTTGACATATAAAACCTTGCAGCTCAACTTGTGTGTTGAATGCCACTGAAAGGTCTAGGAGGGGTGTCCAGCCCTTGGGCCACATGCAGCCCAGGATGGCTATGAATGCAGCCCAACACAAAACTGTAAATTTACTTCAAACCTTTTTTTTTTGCTCATCAGTTTTCATTAGTGTTTGTGTATTTAATGTGTGGCCCAAGATAACTCCTCTTCTTCCAGTGTGGACCAGAGACGCCAAAAGGTTGAACACCCCTGGAAGGTTTTTCACCATTTGCCCAATTTGTCTTTTAGAAGTTGGGTTGATTCTAAGACTTCTCAAAATTTGTGTATGACTTCGGTCAAGCCAGTGTACACACTGTAGATTTGTGTCTGCTGTGTTGGAAAAAGAAAGTACACATTTGATTCAATGATTAGGTTTACCTTGTTTGAGAAGCTGAATTTATAGATACTTCAACAGTGGGATTTGCTGTTCCCTCATGTGTAACTTTCTTGGATTGGTGTGAGAATTAAATTACTTAATGCATCTGAATGGCTTGCAACAATACCAGGCACACAATAATCACATAAAAATGTTTATTACTGTTATTGTTTACACAAGTACTGCAGCAAAACAAGGTGGTAGGTAAGGATATTGCTTTGGAATGGGGCTTCCTGGGCATTAATCTCATCTCCACCAATGGTTAGCTTTGTCTTTGGATAAGTTACACAAACTCTCTGTGTTTCAGTTTACTCATCTGAAAGAATAGGAATAATTCTTTTTGTATTTTTGTTGTGTTTTTGTTGTGTGGTATTATATGAGATACTGAGAAAAATTTCTTTGTAAATCCTCAGTAAATTATAGATTCAGTGCATTTCTTTGAAAAGCAATACTTATTGAAAGTTTCTTGTCTTCGAAGAGGATTTGCAGTTTTATATTGGAAGTTAAGGCATATTATGGATTCGGGGTATTGTTAGATCCTTCAATAACCCACCTTAGTAGGTGTCTCAGAATTGGTGGCATGCCCAAGGCACCATACCAGTCAACCCTAGGTGTAAGGACTCAAGAATCCTTATAGGTGTTGGCCTCAGGATAGCTCTGACTTTGAAATTTGCTGCTTGCTATCAGCTCCCATTCAGTATGTGGTTAACTATTTCTACTCATCTCTCCTTTTTCTTGATCCTTGGAGATATCCATTACTTTATTAGGAACCTAGCATTGCATTAAAAATCATATACATTGAAATTTATCTAAGATCCTACTTGTTAAATGGAGTGATTCATACACTATTCTGTTTGAAATGGAAGTTAAGGCTAGCATAATTCATAAGCTCCACTTACAGGTTTCGCTTTTTAAAAAATCACGTTTATTCTTAATTATGTAAGTGTTTTAATTCATAAATATATACATAGGGTGAACTGTATGTAGATTTCCATTTCTGGGTCAGTGGTTTTCAGACTCTGTCCCATTTCCATCTTGATTCTGTCATTCTTCATTAGCGGAGAAGACAAAGGTGGGCAACAGGGCAGAGCAGTGAGCCTGTGACTGATACGCCCATGAAGTGAGCATCCTTCTCTCACCTGCAGATCGCAGATCTAAATTATTGCTCCACAGTTTGTCTTATGAGTAATCATACTTTACAGTGCAGATTGGACTCTGGTGTAGTATGTATTTTGTTCTGCTGAATTCTAATATAGAGAGATGACTTTTTTCCCTTTGTTAAGTCATTATGTAGGTTTATAAATGTTTACAGTGTATCACCACAGTTCTAGTTGGTTCAGTTTATGTTGAGGCATCCCGTTTTTGGAAAACAGTCATTTTTTTCAAGTACTTTTTATTTTATCCTTGGTGACTGCAGCCTTCAGCGAACAGGAACTAGACAAATACTGATATGAGAAGTTGCAGAATGAATGAATCAGTTCTGGTTGTAAGAAGTCAGGTGGCCATCTTTGAAGAACAATTTCAGAATCACTGTACTGTGAGCCATGGAAAACATATTTCTTACCCCAATATCCACCTTATAGAAAGTCTTTTCATCTGACGTAGTTATGCATTATGTAGTTATGTAGGTTTGCTATATGATAACTAGAAATTGTTCACTGTGAAGTGCAGTCTTCTGAGATGATTTTTAGGTTAGTTAATTGTTTTTATTATCAGAAGAGTCTGGAAGTGTCCTGGGAATTGTAATTCATTACCACTGTCTCATTTTATATTGCTATGAGTTACTATTGGTAAATAATTAGATGGCATTTTAATAGAGTCTTTAATTGCCTGTTAGACTGATAGATTCACTAATTTAAAAAGCGTTAGGGTTAACTTGTTTATAAAATATAATGCCCCACCTACCTAGTTTCCAAGTAAATATTACTCTCATATATAAAGTGGTAGAATAAGAATATTTAATTTGCACGTCACAAACATGTTAAATGTTTTTTAAATCCTTTTTGGGGGGGGTGGGAGAGTAAAAGGAAGTACGAATAACAAAAAGAAACTGTAATAATTATTGCTGCATGGAATAAAAAAATTCTAACTTCCTTTGCTTAGCAGTTTGTTACTCTAGAAGGCTCCAGAAATTTTATTCTTGAAATTGCTAACACATTTCATTTTGACGATGTCACTCCATGTTAAGAACCATCATGCTTTGTAAGACGGGGTACGTAAATAAAAATGTCACCTGTTTATTTAAAGTCAACAGTTATTTCAAGTATTCCAACTGAAAATTAATAGTGGAGACTTATCTCAATTGTGCTTTATTTGGTGTGAAATGGGTATCTGTGAGTGTTCATTAATAAAATGGAGTAAAGCAAAAAAATGGCCATTATCCCATACATTGTTTCAAAATGAAGATGTTTCAGTTTTTAAATTGTTCAAAATAGGGTTTTTCCTGAAAATATCTTATTTTGATGAACTAGCATGAACTGAGGGTAGGTGAGTGAATACACGTGAACAAGAGGATTTCAAAGTAGGCATTTTCAATTGTCTAGTAAAAATACAATTTTTATGTTTGTTTTCCTTTGTTTTTGTTTTATAGTTTATTGAAAAACTGAGCATTCAGGTGGTACAATAAATAAACCTTAGAAATGTTTTATTTCTATGTATATATTGCAGTATGTACTGAATTTAAATCCTGTATAAAGACATGAATCTATAGCTAGAGCCTCAAAATAGGTAGAAAAATGCAAAATATTGAGCATCATTAACAGTTATACACATTGTATCTCTATTCTCAGTACTTATGAAGCACAATGTAATGATAAAATTTTATCTGAGTAAGAACATCTTAATGAACTATAGGCATGGAAATATTCCTTTGAGTTAGATCAATGACCCATATAACATTTTTAAAAATTTTATTTTTTGGACTCTAAAAACACATTTATTTATTCATTTGTTATAAAGAGAGAAATATGACAAAGGTGTCTGTCCCTTGACCCCTTACCCTCTTGCTCCATTTCTTCCTCAGTCCCAGAATAACACCCTGGCTGGCTGGGCCTGACAGACCTCTCGGGTGAGGTCAGCAACACTGAGTGACGTGTCCTCAATGAATTTGTTGTAGAAGGTCTCCTCACACCAAGAGGTCCCCTTGTCTACTTATGTCACTGTGTTGATAGCCACACCCTCATGACCAAAATGTTCACCATGACTGAGGCTGTGGATACAGGTTTCACTGTTGGTGGGAAAGTCAGGGTTAATGACTGAGCAACCTGCTGCACATCGGTGGCTCTGGACCATGTCAAGAAGGGTGACAACTTCAACATACGATGGGAAGATAGGAGGATGTAGGCATCTATGTAGGCAAAGGTCAAAAGGAAACATCCTCTTACTCACAGACCTTGGGCATGCCAGATTTTATCCCAAGTTGCTAGGTTTCTGGGGGGATGGGTAGGAGGAACACTAGTTGGCTCTCTTGAGAGGGGATTACCTTGGAAGAACATTCTATTTATTTATTTATTTATTTTAAATATTTTATGTATTTTTAGAGAGAGAAAGAGGGAAGGAAACATCAATATGTGATTGCCCCTCACACAACCCCTACTGGGGACTTGGCCTGCAACCCAGGCATGTGCCCTGACTGGGAACTGAGTCACCAACCTTTTGGTTTGCAGGCCAGCACTGAGCCACACCAGCCAGGGTGGAAGAACATACTATTTAGTATCTATGAGTGATTTGTGTAAAAGGGCAGTAATGTCCTTTGCGTGGGCATAATTGGAAAGTCACTACCATAATGTTTGATTATGATCTTACGTACTATCTTATATAATTTTATAAACTCTTAGCAGTTGCATCTTTCTTCTGTAAGTATTGCTAACCTACTGAATAACTTAGTCACAGGACTTAAGCAGGAGCCAGGGTCTCTAACTGATGTTTCATCACTTATATTTTGTGTTACTTGTATTTGGTTTATGTATTTGTAAAAGCTTCTTTAAATTCTTGTGTATACATATGTAGTAAGGTTCCCAGCCAGGGAAGCGGGGGAGGAGGGCAGCATGATCATTTATTATATATATGATGCTCATTTGATTTTAAAAAAACCTGTATCAATTATTGGGAAGAAGTGCAGCTTTATCTGGTATTGAAATATAAGGTCCAATTTGATCTGTTGGTCCCTAGGGAGGACACATTGTGCTCTAGTGGGTTGGCTCATCAACAAATTCCTTAAAATAATGTAAATTTAATTTTCTCTTTCATGTTATGCTTAAAGGTCACTTTCAAAAATATTTTTATTAAAATTCTGAAGAATATATAATTCATTCATCCTTGTTTAAAATTTTTTTATCAAGATAAAATTTACATGCCATAGAATTTGCCTTCATTATTATTTAGGTAGTATAAAGTTTACTCTTGAATAAATCCTGACTATCAAAAAGTTATGTATTTGGTACACGTAACTTAGGCCATATATTGTGTGCATATGCATTTGTACATGACTAGTGTTAAGCTATAATGGTTAAGCTTGTCACGACCTTGCATCTTTGCACCCGATATATGTAACATTATTTAAGAAAAGAGTTCGTGTCTCTCAGATCAGCTACGGCCTCCATAGGGTGAAGGACCCACGGGAGTTTCTGGTTCTTGGCCTGTGTTCAGTAATTTTGTTTAATGAGAGAATGAATGGATGAGAATAATTTGTTCTTTCTGAAAAAGACCTTTAGAGGAAATTTCATTTTATTCATTGAGTTTACGTTTATTAGTATACACTATTTAGAAATTTTATTTATTTTTTTGTTGTATAGGTCCATTTCTTTGCCTATTTTTAGTTGTGATGGGCACTATGTCATTATTCTTTGTGTTCAGAATCAAGGCTTTAGAGTGAAAAAACAATGAAGGCTTTGGAGCTAAACATTGCTGGGAGTGAATAGCTTAGCCACATTTTCAATATGGATTATTGGGTACATTATTTAAACTCAGTGCCATCTCTTTTTTTGTAAAATGGGTATGAAATAGTACCCACCATAGAATAGTTGGGAGCATTGAGCAAAACAATGTGCAAAAATCACTTAGCTGGCACATATGAAATGCTTAATAAAACAAGTTTTATTGTAGTTGATATTCAGATAGTTGGTTTTCCCTTCAGGGTAAGCTTAGTTTCTTTAACCTGATCAGTTGATGATTCAGTCATTCTCCTTTCAGTTAGCTAAGAAATGTTAAAGCCTAGTGAAAATGTGTGGTAGATTAATAAGATCATCTGGTTAATAAAGTCATCTAGTTACTAGGTTAAATTTTGCCTTATAGTATTAAGTGTGGGCATTTCTTTTTTTACTTTGAACTTTCATTATATTTACCCAGTTATTTAGCTTAGTGAAATAAGTTCTCAACAGAAATGTTGCTGCTGAAATTTAAGATGATTGATCCTAAAGATGTTACCGTTTTTGTAGATGTGGTCAGAATGAAGTCTATTTGAGGTTAAGTTCATTTTGTGATTATGTACAGAATTTCAGCAAATAAAATTTTATTTACAGCCTTTGACATCCCAGTGGTGCTAAATGAAGTGGATTATGCAAGACTGTAGGTTCGGTGCCCCGAGGGTCATTAAGTCCCAAAAATAAAAAGTGCTGCCATAGAGGTCGGAAGACCTGCGTTCTCATTAGGATTCCCTTGGTAATTAGTTTGTGACCTTGCACATGTCATTAACTTCACTTGGGTTCATTTTCCTCATCTTTCTCTGCCTTATCTTCCTCACAGAGCCATTCTGAGGGAGAAATGAAAAAATATTGCAGGGTGGTAAAACATGCGGAAACCTAAGATACTGGTTTTGTGTAAGGCAGTGCTCCCTGGTGTTATTTTTAAAGATGAGATTACAGCACAGGCTACGAGTGGTCGCCTACGAGTGCCTCTTTATTCCGAGTCAACTTTAGAAATATTCAGGAACTATTTTTAGTGATTTTTTAATACCTCCTCTTGAAAGATTCTTTACAAAGTCATCACATAATGACTTGTTATTTGTGTCTCATCCCATGTTTTTGACATCAGTTCAGATTTTAACAATGAACTTCATTTAGTTGAAGGCCCAGCTTGCATAAATGTCATACTTAGTAGAGCTGGGGAAACTTTTTGAAAACAGCAGACCATACCAGTGTTTGTCCTTTCAGTTTGTGAGTCCAAAAGACTTCTATTTCCTCAGCCATGTTGATATTTATGTGTGTTAACAAGATTTCTCCCGAACCCTCATGCCCTCCCTTACTGTTTCCTCTCCTGATAAGGACCTGGACTGGGGAATGTCTTGCAGCCTCTGTGTGGAGCTGGCCGCTCACTCAGCATTTCTTAGTGCTTAGTGTTCCACTGAGATCAAGTAGAAACGGATTGCTATGGACTAAATTGTGTCCCTCTGAAATTTGTATGTTAGACTCCTAACCCCTAGTGCCTTAGAATGTGATGTTACTTGGGGATAGGGCCTTTACAGAGGTACTGAAGAGTAAATGAAGTCATATGGGTGGGCCCCTGTGACTGGTGTCCTTACCAGAAGAGGAAGAGCCAGCAAGGATGCTGTGCAGAGGAAAGACCATGTGAGGACACAGCAAGAAGATGGCCATGTACAAGCCAAGGAGAGGCCTTTAGAGAAGCCAGACCTGCTGACCACTTGATCTTGGACTTCTGGCCTCTAGAACTAAGAGAATAAATGTCTGTTGTATAGGTCATCCAGTCTGTGGGATTTCGGTGTGGTAGCCTTGGCAAACTAATACATGGAGTCTCCCAGATTCTTCATCCATTAATGATTTTTAGTTGACTTAATTTTGACTTTCAGAAATTGAGCCCCATTCATATGCCTACTCACTGGAATGGCCAATTTTCCCTCTTTTTATGTATGGTGCTGTACAATTTAAAATGCTTGTACATGCATATCTCGTCCCATCCTTGCAAAAATCTGTTGAGATTAGCACAGTGAGTTCATGGATCCCATGTTTTTGAAGGCCACATTCAGAGTTCTTTTTCTGTTCCTTGGACCCAGGTAGACTGAGCCCTGAGAATGAGAAATGCATTTGACATGTGTGTGAGTGTGTGCATGTGTGCCCTTAAGTTGTTTTTAGTTCCTTCCTTTGCTCTTCTAGTAATTATGCAGCAAGTATTTTATTGTGGTAGTGGTGATACGTGTGGGGTTTTTCTCCTTATCTGTTGTGTGTGCATGCATGTGTGTATTGTGCAGCAGCATCCAAATACAGCTTGAATTGTGGATAGCAGGATGCATGAAACTTCTGGCTGGGAAAAAAATAATTGGGTGTCTACAGCTGTTACTTCTTATTTCAGTGAATGCCAGAATCTGCTTACAGTAGTTAAAGGATGAGACCTAAAATCTGTGCCTCTCGAAAAAATCCCCTGTAGTAGTCTTCAGCTTCCTAAGGTAGGCAATGGTTTATGAAGGTGGTGTGTTAGTATTTAGATAACTATTAAGCTAGCTCATTGTTCCTCAGACCTTTTGTGAATCCCTGTCTTGCACGTTTCCTAGCAACTGACTCATGTGGAGGATGCAGAAGGAAAGCCATCAGGGACCTGCTCTGCATTTCTCAAAAGCATCTGAGAAATGGTACCCAGACTACATTTTCTCTTCACAGTTTCTACTAAAAACTTGCCCTTTTGTTTATTAGCCTCTAAAAAGGATAATTGTAAAAGATAAGAATGAAAAATTGAGTAGTGAAGGTAAAACAAAGTCAAATTATTGGAAGTTTTTCTTTGTACTAATATTTTTAATAGGTATTATGTATATCTTGAAATAGTGGTTACTAGAATAAGAAGATGAAATTCTGTTTTGTATTTGAGAATTAAGACCTTTAGTACTATAAGGTCATTCTTCGTAGATGCACAAATACTTGTTCATTATTATAAAATATTAGATGCGGGGTTTTTGGGTTTTTTCCCCTTAAAGGAAAGGAGAGTGACGTACTGGAAATACAGGGTGGGGCAGAAGTAGGTTTACAACTGTGAGTATTCGAAATGCAGTTTATTCTTGTATTGTCTTTTACTAATTACTGTGTTTTTTTCTATGTGAACCACTATAAACCCACTTTTGCCCGTCCCTGTATACTAGAAATAAGTGTATGTGTAGGTAACTATATTTATACACATGCCTGTAAAATTTAAGCCTTTAGATTGGTAAATTTAAAAATGCTTTGTGAGCTAAATGATAAATTTTGTTACATTTAAGCAAAGAAAAATAGCAACACCCCACCCCCAATTTCTCTTTATGAGAAATTGATAGTAATTTGATGATGTCAGTTTTAGCATATTTAAATTAGAGACTGTGATTTTATATTTTTATATATTTGTATTCATTCCATCATATCACTTAATTTTGGTGGTCTAGAACATTAAATATAATGACCTTTACCTGTTAATAATTCTAAGACATATGTATTAGAAAATACTGGCTTTTTAGATGATAAGAATCTGAAGTGATGTCTCTTTCTTTCTTAACTGTCATGCTGCCGTTTGCTGA